TCCCGACCAGGCGCCGAGTGCTGCCAATCACAACACACACTGGCCCAGCTAACCAATCACAGCACATTTCGTATTTCAAAACAAAATCAAGACTTTGTAAAAGAGCATAATAGGACCCCTTTAACATTTTCATAAGTAACTGTAATTTAATTACACATTTTTTCTTTGTAATCAGTTACAGTTACTAAGAAAAAATGTGTAATTAAATTACAGTTACTTATGAAAATGTTAAGGATTACAAGGGGGTTACATCTGATTTTTTTCACACACACTCCCACATACAGATTTAATTGATTTCTTTCATAAATTGCAGCGAGTGCTCTAAAATATGAAACACCAATGTTTCAGGAGTTTATAACATGCTTATTTGATAACTCTTTTATTTCCTATATAGGTTTATGTAAATTCTTTATTTTTTAAAGGAACACACCACTATTTTTGAAAATATATTATGCAACGCCTGAAAATAGGCTAACTTCCGTCAACATAACCAACGTGACCACCTGCTAGCACAGGGAGCATGCTGGGGACTATTTTCAGGCGCTGAGTAATATCATTGCGCCTGCTGCACCCATGGTACGGCAGTAAAGTTCCTTGATTATCACGCCAGAATGAGAGTATAGTTCCTAGCCATATCGGCCTAGAAAATCGCAACTTTTCATTTTCCGTCAGTCTTAGTACACGACGTAACTACAGGAGAGTCCAGTTTTAAATAGGAAAATATAGAAACTCTTTGGTCATTTTTGAGCGAGATGCTAACGGTCTAATCAGATTCAATGATCTATGCTAAGCTACAGCTAAAAGTGCTACCGCCAGACTCGGAGATCGGCTGAATGGATTCGAAAACGGTAAAACTCAACTGTTTAACTCCAGGGGAGCTGGAAAATGAGCCTATTTTCAAAAATAGTGGAGTGTTCCTTTAACAGCAATACAAATAAACATGACTTGACTTTTTTACATTTGACATTTTTATCCACATATTTCAGCACTGAATGAAACTGTGGATTGGGGGAGTTGATCAAGTCACCTTCATTTGTAGAGAAACGCCGATCGTGTCAAAGCAGCTTCACAAACAGCAGAAGCAATCATGGAAACTCAACTCAAGCTTATGTCAGGCTTTTCTGTTACAGCACGACTGCACAGTGAACATGTTTAAATACTCTGCATGAATTTCAAACCTTGTATAAAATCTGTTTATGTATCACCAATGTCATAATTAAAGGGGTCATGAACTGAGAAACGAAAATTCCCTTGATATTTTGACATATAAGAGGTCATTGTACTATAAAAACATCCTTTTAAGTAAGTTTCAGAACTCAAATCTTTGTCGTTAGTCTAAAAACAGCTTATATTGAAGGCAGTCTGCCAAAACTACAGCTTGTGGAATGTTCTACTCTATGATGTAATAGTGTAGATAAACCCCGCCTCTGCAGAAGATTAACGCCTGCTTCTACATCACTGCCTGTTTAGCCCCACCCACCGATTCTACAGTGCTGCCTGTTTAGCCCCGCCCACCGATTCTACAGTGCTGCCTGTTTAGCCCCGCCCACCGATTCTACAGTGCTGCCTGTTTAGCCCCGCCCACCGATTCTACAGTGCTGCCTGTTTAGCCCCGCCCACCGATTCTACAGTGCTGCCTGTTTAGCCCCGCCCACCGATTCTACAGTGCTGCCTGTTTAGCCCCGCCCACCGATTCTACAGTGCTGCCTGTTTAGCCCCGCCCACCGATTCTACAGTGCTGCCTGTTTAGCCCCGCCCACCGATTCTACAGTGCTGCCTGTTTAGCCCCGCCCACCGATTCTACAGTGCTGCCTGTTTAGCCCCGCCCACCGATTCTACAGTGCTGCCTGTTTAGCCCCGCCCACCGATTCTACAGTGCTGCCTGTTTAGCCCCGCCCACCGATTCTACAGTGCTGCCTGTTTAGCCCCGCCCACCGATTCTACAGTGCTGCCTGTTTAGCCCCGCCCACCGATTCTACAGTGCTGCCTGTTTAGCCCCGCCCACCGATTCTACAGTGCTGCCTGTTTAGCCCCGCCCACCGATTCTACAGTGCTGCCTGTTTAGCCCCGCCCACCGATTCTACAGTGCTGCCTGTTTAGCCCCGCCCACCGATTCTACAGTGCTGCCTGTTTAGCCCCGCCCACCGATTCTACAGTGCTGCCTGTTTAGCCCCGCCCACCGATTCTACAGTGCTGCCTGTTTAGCCCCGCCCACCGATTCTACAGTGCTGCCTGTTTAGCCCCGCCCACCGATTCTACAGTGCTGCCTGTTTAGCCCCGCCCACCGATTCTACAGTGCTGCCTGTTTAGCCCCGCCCACCGATTCTACAGTGCTGCCTGTTTAGCCCCGCCCACCGATTCTACAGTGCTGCCTGTTTAGCCCCGCCCACCGATTCTACAGTGCTGCCTGTTTAGCCCCGCCCACCGATTCTACAGTGCTGCCTGTTTAGCCCCGCCCACTGATTCGCACATGTAGTGTTTAGGAGAGAGGCGAACGCAG